GAAACGAAGAAGAAGAAAGGGGAAAAAAAAGATCATAGCAACTACACGCGTGTTCGGAATTCCTTGCCATATCCGATTAATTCTGTTTCGCAACGCCCAATAAAGATTCAAGCCTTTTGTTCATTTAATCGGAGTAATTTTCGAAATTAGCTTATAAATTCGGAAATATATGAATTTTGAATTGTGCGATCCGATTTAGGAGTTGTCAAGTTGTGAAATTTAATGGAAATAATAATTTAGGGCATTGGGGAGCTTGGTGGAAATCAATTTGGAATTACGGTTTAGTTAGAGCGAATTTTATAAAGTTTCGCGCTCAAATTTTGTGTAGCAGACAACTTTCAGTTAGCGTTTTGTTAATGCATAGTTTCGTTAGTGATTAAACTTAGTTTAATCAATTCATAGTTAAGATAGCAGTTTACTTGATTATGATATTTTTCTCGGTTATTTTAATAAGAGTGCAAGTTGATAGTTTGCTTCAAAGAGGATTTTGAAAAAATTATTGTTTGATCTATATACCATAAAAACCAAGTTCATCTTAATCATTATTTATATGGGCCTTATAGTGAGACCCACATAATTAATACATTAAATGGTCTTGGTCCACGTAATATATTGACGAAACAATATTTTCGGAAAGACATAAAAAAAGGCGGCATGGATATGTGTTCCATTGGTTTATTGACACGTCCACTTACCTATTTTTTTCCTGCCTTTTCCTCTTTCATTTCTTTCCTTTTCCTTTGGAAAAAAATTCACACTTTGCTCTTTATTCTTGACTTACTTAAGGTGTAAATTTTCAATTAATTTCTTAGAGAAAACTTAAATGTAATTGAATTTTTGCTTATAAGAATCTTTTGAAACTTTCAACCATAACTTCTTTTTTCTCTTTATTATTCACTCTATATGAAAATAAAATTTAATTTCTCAAAAAATTTGTGATTTTTTTTCTATATCCAAACTTTTAGTAGTTTATTTTATTCTGTTAGTGCATGACGAAGAAAGATTTAGGATTTGCTTTCCTAACAACGATATGTTGGGATCAACGAAAAACTATTTTAAAAACTTGCACGATTTGAAAACATTCACAATTTATTTTCCTTTTTCCAAGTCACACCAAATATTATAAGTAAAGCCCCATAAGACTCTTTATTTTTGTCAGAAAAGAGGTAGAGCTTGAAAATTACATCGTTACTCTAAATAAACATAATCCAATATGATTTCCTAACAATAAAGGAAGCAAACCTATTGGTAGCCTATCTAATACATGATTATCACCCGCATTGTTAAGTTAGATAACCCAAATTTTTTTTGGTCGAAAACAAATTTATTGAATGAAAAGTATTCAAACATGAGAGCTCACAAAGGGAGCATGCACGCAAAGCAAATCCCAAAGTGGTTCTATTAATTTATCCAAAATTAATGTTGTCGGCCTGGTACGGCAATTCAGCTGGAACAACATTTATTATTTCTTTTCATGAAGGTGACGGTTCTATGATTTGGTTATATATTGACAGGTTATTCATTGAATAAGCATGATTCGGGTATCATATTCCGGATAAAAAGTCTTGAATTGGATTTCATTTTTCCCTTTTTGAAACTCGATGCCAATTGCCAATGTATGCAGACTAAATGTGTTCTTTTTCCCTTTTCGAAAGGAAGAATATGAAGGAGATATTACAGATTTGCTTATTCTTAAAACCCACGTCAGATGTTCGATTGGGGATGGCAAAAGTGCGTCATTGCGGCACGATAACTGGCGTCCCGCCAATTCATGCTGAAGTCTCCTCTACCATCAAGGTTGACTCTTGGTCTTGGCCCCTGCTTTTAGGCTACTTTATGTGGTGGTTTAGTGCCATGTTCTTCATCTGCAGATTGTGTAATAGCAAATCACATAATGAGATTCCAGCTTTTAGGGAAAAGCGTAGAACATATGTTGTCTAGAAAAATGCATTATTGCATGCCTTAATACCCATTGCTATATGTCGTTAAGCGCACACACATGAAGATGGGATCTTGTATCACATAAAGAAAGAGTATGTCAGGCTGAGCATAAGATTGGCTTCTCATACAAGCGATCGCCTCTGGCACTTGGGTTGCGCGCAAAAATGAGACGTTTATTCTTAAACTTCTTCTATGATCATGGAGAGAGATTGAGTTTAGAGTCAACGTCACCTTGAGAAAAGATCAAGATCGGGTCATTCGCAATTTTCATGTAAAGTGACCAATATGGATTGACCACGATCCATATAGCAAGCCTGTTAGAAGCCATATTTGAGCTTTGGGAGAGACTGATAAAACATGAAGGGAGCCATAGTCTAAAAACTCAAGCTGAGGCATTTGATAGAGATTAGACTAATATTAGTATGGTGCTGAAATAATATTTGACATATGCCTTCTTGTATGAGTGTACTTTGATTGTCAACTCACTATGCATGAAAAAAAAGTAAATGTAAATTACTTATATTACATGATATCGTACCATAATTTGGCTCTACCCATCCCAATTATTTGTAAGGTCTGATTTTGAAATTTTGATGATAGCTAGATAACTTGGAGAGAAGTTAGTAGCTTGAAACTCAGAAGGGCAATTTTGTCAAGAGAGCTATCTTAGCTCCAAGAGAAGATTTTGGAAGTCCCCCAACAAAGTTTCTCCATCCAACTCAAAATACCTTCAAGTGTCTGCACGTGCAATGTTGCACACTTGACATTGTTTACTCGGTTTGAGTGCCACTATATTTTTTGGTTCCTTGATAAACAAGATCATAATTCAATATGCCTAAGCTTTGGTCACGACATGACTTGAACTTATTACCTTATAAAAGATAGTGTGACCTTTTCATCATTGAGTTACCACGCTCCTTGATAATTTAATACAGTACCGGCCTATTCTATTTTCTACACAAAGTGGAAAGTAGAACTTTAGTCAATATGTACCTCTTTTTTTTATAACATCCGTGGCTACTGTGGAACACCATATTCTACTTTGCTCTCCAGGATGTTTCATGCTCTCCTCGTGAACAAGTTTCCTTTCTGAATTTATGAGTTGGTCATGCTTCAAATGTTGTTATTCATAACTTTATTAGAAACATGCTTAATATCTTACCATGGTCACGACAACGCTTGGTGACAAGGCAACCCATATTCCTCCTTAACAAGGTCTCCATCTACAAAACTGGTGGCTCAACCTAGAAGGATATCTTAACTGGTATGCATACTTCAAAACCCCTACCCAAGTTCACAGCCATATTGAGTATTAAATAATCGTTCTTCAATACCAGAAATCCAATTCAAAATTAATCTCGTAAACCACAATATATTTTATAAACCGATATAGATAACCTTTTTGCAACACAGTCCATCCTCTAAAATACTTTTTGTAAAGCACTTATCATATCGATTCAGAACTTATTACATAAATCAATTTCACAAATCGATATGTATAACATTTTGTAACGTTTTTCATTAAACGTTTATTGATTCATTTTAGAATTCATTCCGTAAACTAGTTTATAACGTAACACATATATATCCGTTCGTAATATCTTTCTTAAAATCATTCTCAAATCGTTTTCAAATATTAAAGGTAATAATAGACCGATGTAAACTTTTATGCAACAAACATGTTTTAATAACTCAATACTCAAACCTAACACTTTCAAGACATGAGTTTACAAATCCATAGAAGAGATAGCACCACTTAGCTCGGAATGCCTACGATCAAACAACAACGATTATTCGAACCGTTGAACTCGCGATCCTATCAAATGAGTGAGAGACGTCTAAATTAAGTAAAACGCTACTTCAACTACGAATCGGCTAAATTAAGCTTAATCGCTAACAAACCGACTTCTATGCGAGAACAAAATGCTCATCCAAATTGATTATTTAAACATAAACACAACACGGAATTCGCACGCGAAACTCTAAAATTCTCGCTCAACCAAACCATTACTCCAAGTCGACTCCCATCAAACACACAACTCTCCAACGCCATAATACACAATTTTCAGGAAATCTCATAACTCAACAACTCAAAACTCGTCTACACGGCTCAAATTTCACAAAATTTCGAAAACTTCACCAATTGGAAGAACGAGGGTGCGAGCACTTACTGACGTTGTGATACGTAGTAAATTTGGCTTGATGAGGTGTCCGCAATGTGCATGCAAAACTCCTCTTTCTTTTCCCTCTCTTCTTCTCCTTCTTCTTTCTTTTTCTCCTTCTCTTTCCCTTTTTGCTCTTCTCCGCACATGCTCTCGATTTAAAATGAGCTGAAACATTCCTTTTTCTTTCTTTTGTTCACCATTTTCCTTTTTTAATGTGGGTCCCACCACCTTTTTGACTTGGTAAAAAATCCCAAATATTACAACAATCACCTATAAATATTATGTTTTAACTACATGCAAGTTTTAGAAGTATCCTTGAAACTATGACCTCCAACACTTATCTTGATCGAGGCAACAACATTCTAATTCCCAAAATTTCTATCAACTAGGCATAAAAAAAGACTTATTTCCAGATCTAAGCACCGTAATTACATTTTGAGAAGAGATGTGCTCAAGAATCCTTTCTTAGACCGCATAAGAGAAATAATGGCAATGCACAAGCTGAACTCATCCTATCAAGAGTTGACAGCCTATTTAAAATGACTAACTAAGATATAAAACCAAAACTAGGATCATTGGGAGAGAACCAAATCAATTTATGCCAATCGACTTTTGGTCCTCTATTCCTAACAATTTTCTCAATACAATAGCAGAAGAAATAGTGCAAAAAACTTGATCATCTACTGGAAAGTTTGGGAGAATAGTTTCACAAAGGTAGCTTAAATAGTCGCAGACTTATCTGATCTGTCAGGTAAATACATACATACATACTTTCTCTAAATCTAAGATGCAAATATAATTTTAAATTCAAATTTTTTTTTCGCCCCTTCCTCCGTATCCTCTTCAGTATCATCTATTCCAATCATTGCCTCTTCGTTGTTATACAACTCCATACTACGACACCATCGCCATTACCACCATCAACACCATCCCAACCACATAACATATTAAGGTAGGCAGCTCGTCGTCATCGTCGTCATCATTATTATCATTAGCAATATCTTTTTCAGCATCCTCACCCTTAACTTCATCAATATCGGCTTCTTCCTCCTCCTCTTCCTCAGCATTCTTACCATCAATTTCGTTGTGGTTCAAAAAACTCATTATACCTAGATATTCTTCATAAACATAACATCATCATTCTCACCATCGGTTTCATCATGATGAGGAGAATTCACAGTGCACAACATTTTTCATAAATAGTGACCTCTTCCTCCTCCTCTTCCTCAACAATATTACCAGTAGCTTCATCAACAGTGGTTTCTTCTTTTTTCCCTTCCTCAACATTCTCACCATCAGCTTCATCAACAGTGACATCTTCCTCATCATCCTCTTCCTCGGCATTCTCACCATTGGTCTCATCAACAACGGCCTCAACATTCTCACTATCAGCTTCATAAACCGATGTTTTTCTTTTTCTCTTTCTCAGTATATTCACTACCACTGTCAGCTCCATCAACATGGCTTCTTCCTCCCCCTCTTCATTAGCTTTATATCTATCAACTTTATTAACAGTGACTTCAGTATTATTTTCCTCATCATCCACAATATTCTTACTATAAGCTCCATCAATAGTGGTCTCATCATTCTTATTATTAACTTTATAAATAGTTGCTTTTTTTTCTTCCTCAACATTTTCATTATTGATTTCATCAATAGTGGATTTTCTTCCTCCTTTTCCTTAACATTCTCAGCATCATATTCATTATTTTCCTCATCTGGCCAACAAAAAAACTCATAATACCCATACCTTATATCATAATGAGGAAAACTCATAATGTTCAATATCTTAAAAAACAGTGGCTTCTTCCTTTTCCTCTTCCTCGACATTATTACTATTAGTTTCATCAACAGTAGCCTCTTCTTTTTTCTCTTTCTTGGCATTCTCACCATCAACTTCATTAATAGTGGCATCTTTCTCCTCTTTCTCGGCATTCTCACCATCAGTCTTATCAACAGTGACCTCAGCATTTTCACCATCAGCTTCATAAACAAATACGTCTTCCTTTTTCTCTTTCTCAACATTCTCACTATCACATAAACTTCATCAACATGGCTTCTTCCTTTTCCTCCTTCTCCTCACTATCAGCTTCATCAACAGTAACTTCAGCATTATTTTCCTCCTCTTCATCAACATTCTTACTATCAGTTTCATCAACAGTGACTTCAGTATTCTCACCATCAACTTCATAAATAGTGCCATATTCTTCCTCTTCTTACTTAACATTCTTAGCATCAGCTTCATCCTCCTCTTCTTCCTCGGCATTCTTACCATCAGCCTTATCAACAGTGATCTCAGCATTCTCATAATCAGCCTCAATAAAGGTGGCCTTAGCATTCTCCCCATCAGTTTTATCAACAGTGGCTTTAGCATTATTTTCCTCCTCTTCCTCAACATTCTTACTATCAGCTTGATTGCCTCAACATTTTCACCATCAATTTCATAAATAGCAGCATCTTCCTCTTCTTCAACATTTTCATTATTATCTTCATCAATAGTAACATTTTCTTCTTCCTTTTCCTTAACATTCTCAGCATCAGCTTCCTCCTCCTCCTTAGCATTATAGCCAACTTCAATACTCCTCCACATATGAAACACTGCTATCAAGCCAAGAGCAAGTGCAGTAACACCATCATCAGTGATAGCCACAACATCTCAACAAGACTCCCTACTTGAGCCGCTCCACCACCCTCTTCTTCATCCTTATCGCTGGTATTGTAATCGTCGTAATCGCCAGCATCACCCTCAGCAAGTTCTCCGGGATTCTTTTGTTCGTCGACATGTTCTTCATTCATCTCTGCATCATATTCATCTGGAAAAAAAAAGAAGAAACCATACAACACAACTCTATGACGTTACACCAAAACAGAGGAAATCACACATCACAACGCTAGGATTTTATACCAAAACAAATTAAACCACACATCACAATTCTATTACACCAAACTAGAATAAACCACAGAATTCTAAGATTTTACACAAGATAGACTAAACCACATAACACAATGCTAGGATTTTACACCATAACAGAGTAAATGAAGAATGGTTAACATTCGACCAAAGCAAAAGAAAGGGTTAACAGAGGTGAACCCCAAATGACTTATCGCAACAAGTCATCTTTAAGAAATCTTCTTCATCAAACAAAAAAGAAGAAGAAAATAAGTCCGATAACTCTAAGATTTTATGTCGGGTTTTAGAGTAAGCACATATACAACATACAACATAGAGTAAATGAAGAAGAGTTAACCATAGATGAAAATAAAATGAAAAGAAGCACGATAACTCTAGGAAAACTTGAGTTAACCATGGATGAAAATGAAATGAAAAGAAGCAGGAAAACTTGTTTTCATAAGATTTGTAATTGAGATCTATATATTTCTACTGATATAAAGACCATCGAATTTGAAGTTCATTTTTTTTGTCAAAAGTTCATCCAAAGTACCAAAAAAAAATTGTGACAGATATGTGCAAATTATTCCCTCGTTGACCAAACTTGTTTTTTAATTTAAAAATACTTTGAGGTATTTTTTGTAAAAACTTAGAAAGTGAAAGTTGTTGAGGTGGTCCTCAATTGCAAATCTACGAAATTTCATAATTTTTTAGTTAGTTTTATGTGAATTCAATGAGATTTGGATAACGTAAGAATTTGCCTTTAAAATCGTTTTAGATTGAGTCTTGGTGTTTAATGCAAGTTTTTTTAGTATTTGGATGGCTCTTTTGTGAAAACGTAAAACATGAAAGTTGAAGAGTGCATCCTAAGACATGTCCATAAAATTTTGCACCATTTTCAATTTGTTTGATATTTCTTCAGAATTTACAAATGTTGGGTCCAAATACAATCAAATCCTGAGTGAGCGGGTTAAATTGATTAAAAAGTGAGGGATTGAGAGAAAAAAATAAGGGTGTCCGAAGAGTGTATAACTGCTGGTATTCTGTTAAATCTCCAAATTTCTTACATGTGTAACGAACATCATTCGGATATTCTCCCCATTAACTTTTAAATAGTGGCATCTTCTTCCTCCTCCTCCTCAACATCACCTTCACCATCAACTTTCTCCTCCTCTACAGCATCAGCTTCAGCATCGGGTTCGTCCTCCTCAGCATCAGCTTTACCATCAGCTTTACCATCAGCTTTACCATCAACTTTCCCCTTCACCACAACATCAGCTTCGTCTTCCTAAACATCAGATTCAGCATCGGCTTCCTCCTCCTTAGCATCAGCTTTACTATCAACTTTCTCCTCCACCACAGCATCAACTTCAGCATCGGCTTCCTTCTCCTCAGCATCAACTTGACCATCAACTTTCTCCTCCACCACAACATCAGCTTCCTCCTCCTCAGCATCAACTTCACCATCAGCTTTCTCCTCTTCCACAGATGAAACACCGCTATCATTGCCAATAGTAGGTGCATCAGCATCATCAGCGATAATAGCAACAACATCTCAACAAGACTCCCTACATGAGCTCACTATCACCCTCCTCTTTATTTTCATTGCCGGAATCGCCATCGCCATCTTTGGTATTGTAATCGTCGTAATCACTAGCATTACCGTTATCGCCAGCATCAACGTCATCGTCAGCAAGTTCTCTAGGATTGTCTTGTTTGCCGACGTGTTCTTTGTTCATATATGCATCATATTCAATTGAAAAAAAAAGTAAACCATACAACACAATTCTAGGATTTTTACACCAAAACAAAGTAAACCACATAGACACCAAAACAGAGTAATCCACACATCATAATGCTAGAATTTTACACCAACACAGAGTAAATCACACATCACAATTCTATAATTTTATACCGAAACAGATTAAACCACACAACACAACGCTAGGATTTTACACCAAAACGGAATAAATGAAGAATGGTTAATCATTTGACCAAAAGAAAAAAAGGAAGGGTTAACCAGAGGTAATCCCAAATGACTTATGGCTACACAAAAAAAAGAAGAAAATAAGCACGATAACTCTAGAAATTTACGTCAAGTTTTAGAGTCAGCACACATACCACACACAACATAGGGTAAATGGAGAAGAGTTAACCATAGACAAAAATGAAAAGAAAATAAGAACGATAACATTAGGAAAATTTTTCAATTTTTTTGGAAAAATCCAAAATGAATTAGGAAAACTTGTCTCAATAAGATTTGTAGTTGAGACCTGTATCTTTCTACTGATATAAAGACCATCGAATTTGAAGTTAATTTTATTTCTCAAAAGTTCATCGAAATTACCGAACAAAAACTTTGACAGACCCGTGAAAACTGTTCCTGCTGACCAAACTTGTTTTACAATTTAAAAATACTTGGAGATATTTTTTGTAAAAACTTAGAGAATGAGAGTTGTTAAGGTGGTCCTAAATTGAAAATCTACAAATTTTCATAATTTTTTACTTAGTTTTAGGTGGTCATTTCAATTTTTTTCAGATAACGTAAAAATCGGCCTTCAATATTATTTTAGATTGAGTCTTGGGTGTTTAATGCAAGTTTTCTAGTATTTGGAGGGCTCTTTTATGAAAATGCAAAACATGAAAGTTGAAGAGTGCGTCCTAAGCCAGCTGTCCATAAAATTTGGCGCCATTTTCAATTAGTTTGATATTTTTCCAGAATTTACAAATATCGGGTCCAAACACGATCGGATCCTGAGTAGGCGAGTTAAATTGATTAAAAAGTGACAGATTGAGAGAAAAAAGTGAGAGTGTTTAAAGAGAAAAGAGACCGAGTGAATTGGATTGAAGCAGAGATTGAGAGAAAAATGTGAGGGTGTTCTTAAAGAAGAGTGAGTGAGTGATCTTTGTTAAAGTAGGGTTAATACTATGAAAAACCCCAAACTGGTATACTTGTGACAATTTTACCCCGAATTAATTTTTTGACTACAAAAAATCCTAAACTGGTACACCCGTAACAAATTTATCCCAAATTAATTTTTTGACCATAAAAACCCCAAATTAGTACACCTATGACAATTTTACCCCGAATTAATTTTTTGGCCGCCAAAAATCCAAAACTGGTACACTTGTGACAAATTTACCCCGAACTAATTTTTTTACCATAAAAAACCCCAAACTGGTACACTTGTGACAAATTTACCCTCCATTAAATTGGATTAATATCACAAAAAATCACAAATTCATAAATTTGTGACAAACAGATGGGTAAAACCCCAAACTGGTACACCGTTTAACTACCATGTATCATCAAACTCAACAATTTGATAGTAAAATTTAACAGAAACTAACAAAGGGTAAATTTGTCACATGTGTACCAGTTTGGGGTTTTTGATGGTCAAAAAATTAGTTCGGGGTAAAATTGTCACAGATATATCAGATTGGGGTTTTTCGTGATAAAAAAATTAGTTCGTGGTAAAATTGTCTTAAGTGTACCAATTTGGGATTTTCGTGGTAAAAAAATTAGTTGAGGGTAAAATTATCACAGGTGTACCAGTTTGGGGTTTTTCGTGGTATTAACCCTTAAAGTAGAGAGTGAAAATGTGTCTTGGAAAGAAAAAGGCGAGACTGTTTGCGGCGAGAGAGAGGGATATGGTACTAATGGACAGTGAAAAACTGTGTGCGAAAGAGAGGATTCTATATGAAGAGAAACAATGCGAAAAAAGTCGTTCCATATCACGGTGAAGCGAAAGTTATTCCATATTTGAGAAAATTGAGTATAAAATTTTACAAGCTGTCTGAATATTTTCTCCCTCTGCCCTCAAATGAAATTGCCTCGACATAGTCAAACGTGTTTATATACTACTTGCTCATGCATGCATTATTTACTACATTTTCGCGAAATGACATTCATACATTCTATTATATAATATGTATATGATGACTTAGGTAATTCTATTTTAGGTTAATACTACAGAAAACCTCAAACTGATATACTTGTGATAAATTTATCCCAAACTAATTTTTTGACCACCAAAAACCTCAAACCGGTACACATATGACAAATTTACCCCAAACTAATTTTGCAACCACCAAAAACCTCCAACTGGTACATTTGTGACAAATTTATCCTCCATTAATTTTCGTTATTTAGATTAGTACCATGAAAACCTCAAACTGGCATACTTGTGACAAAGGGATGGTAAAACTCTAATGGTATACCCATCAACTGCCATATGTCATCCAAATTAGCAATTTAACGATAAAATTTAATGGAAACTAACATAAGGTAAATTTGTCACAGGTGTACCAGTTTAGGTTTTTGGTGGTTAAAAAATTAGTCATGGATAAATTTGTCGCATATGTACTAATTTGGAGTTTTTCGCGGTATTAACCCTTCTATTTTTTTAAAGTTCATGCATAATTTCTTAAAGGGAAAGGTTTATTGTCATCCGAACATGTGGGGAAGCATTTATGATATTCTAGGATCTACGAGTGAAATTATACAACATGAATGATAAACTTCAACATCACACATGGACGTCGACGTACAATGGATTGACTCTAAAATTTCACGCTTTACTCTAAAATCACAAAATGAATATCTTATGCGTCAATCCCCCTCCCTCATTATGCCAAAGACTATTCCATGTTAATAAACACGCAATTAGACTTCATTGATGTAAATAAAATGGCTGGTTAAACAATCAAATTTCGAATATGTTTGATAGATAATACAACGATCATGTTAAAGGGATTTTAGGAGCTGCAATTGAGATGTTGTGGGTAAATCCTTATTCAGATTTCGTGGGCACTACGATTTATATCCATAAGTGGGGTTTATTTCAAGTTAAAGGTCGAGATAAATGTTGTAAATAACATGCCAAGCTTCAAAGTTAGGTACGTAATCTTATATTAGAATTTACAAACTAGAGACCATAAGAAACAGAAAAGGAAAAAAAAAGTGCAAGGAACTGAAATTGAAATCAAGAAAAACGCAAGAGTCATCTCGAAAGTCCGAAGTCTAAAAAAAAGAAAAAGAAAAGAGTAGAAAAGAAAAATAGCGAAATATAATTCCACGCCTATCATTCATTTTAATGAATGCGGAACTGAAATTGCAATGGTGAGGATCAAGGCTGTGTCATGTAACTCCGTCTTGAAATTCACAAACTCACATTGGCCATGTCACCTCATCCCTATAGCAAAATCAATTTATTTTATATATGTACAAAAGAAATATAGCATGCAAAGGCAGAAATCAACATCTAAAGTATAAAAGCAAATTTAGTCCTAAGGATACGTGGAGATGAATTTTCACTTCATAGCTGTGGACACCCGAATCAAAAACTTTGTGCCATTAGTTCAACCAAATATTTCCGAACGTAAAACTAGCAGACGATGAAATAGTTAAGAAGGTCCACGGCATATGAGAGGAGCTTTTGAACTCGCTTTTGAGACGTCCACCCAGTCTCGTCACATCCCTTAAGGGTAATACATCCCAAATCTTCAGGATGCTCTTCTTGGGTCTCCAGCCACCAGCAAGTTTTTCGACATCGGATGTCAGCCTCCGAAACCCAAAGATGTCGCCCAAGAAACCTGCGAAAGTCCAATGTTCTTTTGCAGCCGACAAGTATAGCGAAGAAAACCATCGCCTCGAGTTCCATACCCTCCGCCGAGCATTTCTAAATAGGAAATTATTTCCATCAAGCGGATCATCGAGCCAAACATTGTCCTTCTTCCATCCCAAAATCGCTTTAACTTCACCAGTATTGGAGGAACATTCCCGGCTTTCAGCATCATGAAAAGCACTTTGCCCTCCACCTTTTGCGCCGAAATGCACAAATGTATAATTATTTGGGCCCCTCTACATACTTCAGAACAAATGGAAAGCAAATTTTGAGAGGGTTCATATGATGTTTGCACACCTGTGGGAATATATGGTAATTTTAGCCAGAAGATTTTACTTTAAAAATTTCGAGGGATACATGGGGTCATCATCTCCGCCAAGTGAAAAAGGAGACCGAGGGGATTGAGGCACGAGCCCGGGTGGAGGGCGCGTATGTGGGGACTCTCCTGAATAAGTATGGTAGCTTCCCAATCCACACAAGAACAGAACCAATAATATGAGTCCGACATAGGAAAAACATTGCCCAATTAAGTTTACATAAAATGAAGAAATGGTAAGAATATATTAATCAAAATCCTATAACAAAGAAGACGAAACATTGTGATTGATTGGAGTGAGGACAATTTCAATGCCTATCTAGAATAATGCACGTGATTAAACGAACTGCGCTGACGACAATATCGAGTTAATGACAATGAGTCATGCAAGGAAATTTGGGAAGTGCAATCGCTTATGGGATGAGCAAAACAGACCCCAATCAAGTAGAAAATGATTTGATCATGTTGACAGCTGCAATGAAACCAATCTCCTCACCCTTTTGATCGGTTCTAAAACCCCTTGGTTTCCCAAAATATATTCCAGTTCATTCAAAGGAAATAACACACAATCATCGACCTCGTACTGAAAAAAATTCAAGCACGAAAGAACAAATATATGTTGGAAACTAACCGCCTGTGAGCTCCCTCACAACCTTTAGGTCAACCTCTTTCTCCAAAGTAGAAGCGTCAACTAACTGAGAAGGTAGATCCGTATAAAAGAGGGAGACGATCTCTTCAGCGATTATGGTAATTCTAGAACATATGCATTCATAGATATACGAAGAAATCAAATGTAGTTAAGGAAGATTTACCCCTAAAAGAAGAAGCATAGGAAACTGACCAATTACAAGCTATCTACTGCCCCATAAAAGAAAAACAGGCAGCTTGTCACGTGATATCTAGTCCATAAAACATAAAAAGAATCATGAAATCGGGCAATTTAGAAAGTGTTTTAAAAACAACCTGAGGTAATCCAGTTGTTGGCCGTAAGTTTGCAAACATGTTAAGACCTTCTCTTAATTGCAGTGGCCCAGTTTCTGGCTTCGAATGTTTTTCATTATCGTCCCACTTAGAGCTTAGTAAAGAAAAGGCAGGAATAGTAGTTATGAGGGAAAGATTGCAGGGAAGAAAATTACCCTCCAATTGCTCCAAGAAGAACTGCATCAGATTGTGCGACTTGGGAAAAACTCACAAGACTTCCACGTAGTGATGATTTTGATCTGTTTCTATTGACTTTGTCTTTTGGTAGTTTTGTTCTATAAATATTGTTGTATGATGTAGGATTGGGCTTGGGTTCGTGGCTGTCAAATTAGGCCAGGGACATGATTTGTAGAGCTTTTGGGCTTGTGAGGCATTTCGGTCTACCCTCTCTCTTTGGCAGCCATAATGGTCGCCGAATCACCAGATAAAAACAAAGTATTGCTCGCGGAGGTATCTCTCCCACATCAGAAATACGGCAAAAACACTATAAGTGACATAAGTTGTGTACGGAGATCACTTTTGTGCCATAACTTTTTTTCGGATCACTTTGGTGCCAACTTTTTTGAAAAAACGATCACTTTAGTGCCAATGCTGACATGGCCGCCAGAAATCTGACGTGACTCTTTTTTTATTAACTTCCGATGCTGACGTGGCTCGCTGGAAATCTGACGTGGCTCGCTGGAAATCTGACGTGACTCTTTTTTTGGCCGGAATTTTGGCCGGAGTCACTAAAGTGATCTCTTTTCCTTCGATTTGGCACCAAAGTGATCCGAAAAAAAGTTATGGTACCAAAGTGATCTTCGTACACAACTTATGGCACTTATAGTGTCCTTTTGCCTCAGAAATACTCTTTAGCTTAACTAGAACAAAATAAGTGAACCCATACTCCATTATCCTGCTTTCTCTAATATAAGCATGGAGAATATATAATTATTACTTCATAATTGAATACTTATTTGATTTTGCTTGTACTGGTCATGTATGGATTATAATATGATGTTTCTATTCATTATTAAATAAGAGTCTTACTAATCATGAAAGGTTAATTCCACTTTTCTCGAGTTGTCAATTTATCTGAAATATATATTGTATGCACGTTACAGAAAAACCGGTATCTATTCTACAATTGTTCTTTACCCATGTTGAATTTTTTAAGGGAGTCGCAAGACTAATACATGTTGTTGTTATCTATAAATGCAGATGAAGCCGATAATTCTCTGTATCATATTGATGTAACGAAGCGTTAGCACTGTTAAATCTAAAGTCTGGAATATTTTGACAAGTATTACTTTTGTTTGCCCACTGACTGACTGAGACAATTACTTGGTTGACTCCACTACTTGTTTTCACAAGTAGATAAAATCCTATAGTTTAGAGAGATGTTTGCATCAATTGGTTTCAGTTGTTGTGTCCTATGGTGCATGTATTGTGTCTGACTGGAAGTTTCCTTAGTACTAGTCTATAAATAGGCTTCGTGTAGTGGTTCCCCAAACCACATATTAATCTCTTTGTCAAGCAATGGTATATTTCTTATTCTTGCACCTTTACTTTCTTAGTAACTTGCTTCAATGTAGTCAAAACCAAACTTCTTCTGTGAGATCTCCTGCCATCAACAACCAGAGCCTGCAATTGAGTATTCGAGTCTGTTCTAGACCTCGATGTGAAGACCTAAGATCGAGTTCTTTTCTTCATCGTCATTCGCTTGTTTAATGCGTAAGGACTGCAATTGCGCCGAAGTTTCTGATCTGTAGAAGTTGAGCCACAATTGACCTGGCACGACTTGCATTTTTCAGGCTCGTGTAATTTTAGAGCGAACACGAAGAGGTGGGAAAAAAGCACATTGGAGAAAGGCGAAGTTCAAAGTCCGTCAAGGTAATTGTGGCAGCCACCAACTTACAGGCGAAGGAGCTCTTTCATTTCTTCATTGCTGAGGACGTGGAGACCTTCGCAGGTCGGTTTAGAAATTTTTTGTGGCAAATGACCCAAATAACTAACAGGGAAAAGATTGTGTCTTCAAGCTTCTCCAATGTCCCTATCGCCTCATGTAGCTTCTAAGCTCTCCAATCGCACTAGGTGATTCTGTAATTTTCATGTGGTGTAGTGACAACTCAACCAGTGATTTTTAAGTCTTCCGGTGCGTTTCAATGCGTAACTTACTGAACAATTATGTGCATGCAAGCATTGAAGACTCGCCAGCTCTCCGATAGAATCTAGAAATAGTTGAGGTTCAACGCAGAGATTGAGCTGGGTTGAAGCTCCTTCAAGCATCCTCAAACCGTTACCACCTGTTAAATTTCAAGTGCTTGAAGTGTAGTAGCATTACCGATGGATGGGTCAATTTCAACCAAGCTCAAACCGTCCTTTAAAACAAGTCTCTCCATAGTCAGACATGTAGAGAAGTCGGGCGTCTTGATCAAGCTTGTACAAATTGTGAGTCGTAGAATTCTCAACTTACTTTTTCCCTGCGAAATTACTCAATATAAGAATGCAATTGCATCTCTAGAAAAAACAGGGCAAAGAAAATTGCATGTAACGTATCATATCATACCAGGATTTGACTCCATCCACCCCAATCATTTATAATGCCACTTCCTGCAATTTTAACTAGATTCCTTGGAGAGAAGTTACTAGCTTGGGAATTCTGACGAACAATGATGAAAAGAAAGCCATCTTAGCTCAAAGTCTCCAACGGAACTTTCTTCCATCTTAACTCAAGGAACCTTAGGTTTTCTAGCTTCGAGAATTCTTCGGGTGTAAAATTGCAGGCTTCAAAAAATCCATCAAGTTTGAGCGCTGCTATTTCTTCGTTCCCCGGTAATAGAAATTGATGGTAAACGAGCACGGGCTTTGACGAGCAAAAGATAGTGCAAAATGAACTCTTAACACATGATATATGCATTCTGTTTTTAGTTCTGCACAAAAGTAGGAGTCTAAATTTCGTCCTCACCCTCTTTTTGTGTACGATGTCCGTCCGCAGCCAACTTTGCACGCCACCGCTCGCTACACTTGCCAGGAAACCAGATGGCAGATGGCCTTTCGACAAATGATTCCTCTTCCAAGGTCTCTGAGTTGGTCGTGTATCCATAGTTTCTCCTGGTCCTTGATCCTTGTAAAAGACATGTCGATGAGGGCATAATTGTGCGACTTGGAAAATCCTCCCAAGACTCAGAAGTATTGGGCTTAGGTTTGGGGCTGTTGAATTGGGCTAGGAATATGATTTGTACGAAGTAGAGTTTTTGGGCTTGTGAGAGATTTGGTCTGTTCCTTCTCTTTGGTAGCAATAAAGTTCATCGTATCTTGGCTTTCTCTCACATCAGAAATACTCTCTACCTTAAATAGAACGAAAAAAAAGAGAAACTATCTCCATTATCCCGCTTACTCTAATATTAGTATAGACGATATATTTAAAATAAATTAATGATTGAAAATTCATTTGATTTTGCGTTAACTGTTCATGTATAAATTGAAATATAATGTTTCTATTGATAATTCAATAAGAGTCTTACTGTTTATTTAAGGTTGGTTTTACTTTTTATTCGAGTTGTCAATTAATCAAGATATGTAAATTGTATGCATGCTGCAGAACAAGAATTAGGATAAAGCGCTTCTTTATCTATGTTGAATTTTTAATGAGAGTCACAAGACTTAACACATAATAATTATCTGTAAATATAGATAAAACCAAGATTTTGTTATATCATATTGACGTAACAAACAAGTCCTAAGTCTGGGATTTTCTCACTTGCATAGTATACGTTTGTCGCCCCGCTGACCGAGACAATTACTTCGGTAGCTACATTGTTTCATGTAAAAGCGTCCAATGTTTTCACGAATTCAGAGTTAGCGCTAGGTGGAGATTGGCTGGATTGAAGAGGGAAGTCGTAAGTTATTCTATTCGAAACGTGTAACAGTTACTCCTTGTTTGTCTGACTTGAATTTGTTTTTTTTTTTGGTACTTGTCTATTATAAATAGGTTCTATGCAGTCTGAAACAAGGGTTTCCTGAACCCCGTTTACTTTCTTGTGGTATAGATCCAACGTAGTTAAAACCAAAAATCTCTCTGAGATCTCTCTTGCCATCAACTACGAGAGCCCCGGTTATCGTGTGTAGAGACAATTGAGGTTCTCTCCTTCGTGTATCGTGTCCAATGCGCCCAAAGCGACGCGAAAACTGACGATGTTATGAGCTCTCTCCAGCTCAGCATTCTGGAACCCTCGAGAAGCGCCATGGCGATGAGTTGCTTGGCTCAGTACCTCGCGCAGATTCTGGAAGACGTCGGTAGAGAGAAATGGAGAATGGGACGAGTCATTCTTGATGGGCTACCCTTTGTTTTGATGGGCTGCCTAAAGAAATGGGTGGGCTTAATGAAGTCTTAAGGGTGGGCTCTGAGCATGGGTTAATGGATCTTCGGAAAAACGAAGCAAAATGGGTCCTCCGGTTTAGATCTGATTCATCCGAATCGCGGATTGGGGCGACACGAGCTGGGCCGGACTCTTTTTCTTTCTTCTCTTTCATTTATTTATTTACTTATTTGTTCATTTCTGTTCCTTTTTATTTTATTTATTATCATTAATTTTTTTTATTTACAAAAAGAGATGCAAATTTCGCCTATCGACAAAAACTCAGGTGCCAACAATAACTAGAGGCAAAAAGATTGAATCTCATCACGTCTTATGTAAAAGAATTTAAAGAGAGCAAAGTGTAGCTACTTTTCAATCTCTGTACAAAATAAGAACGTTATTTATACACAACCCATACATAGAGGAAATGATGCGTGAACGAAGTTGATCAGAAAGCAAAGTTCCCAGTGACGATACGCCTACTGAGAACGATATGCTCAGCATACCATTCAAATTTTGGACTTGAATGGTGAGGCAGCATCTTGCATCTACAAACATTCAAACGACATGTTTCCTTATTCACATCAGGCAAACGTTCCAACGAGTTGCAATCAAATAATAGCAAGTCGCTCAGGTTCTGTAAGCTGGAAAGATCCGGTAGCTCTTTTAAGGACGGGCAACAACCAATACGTAATTCTTCCAATGATTCTGATTGTTCGAGATCTTGAATCTCAACTAGCCGTGGGCACTTATCAACACGCAAATACGCTAGCTTTCTTAAGCTTGGTAAATGGGAAAGTCTCTCAAGAAATTGACACTCCGATACAGCCAACCAGCGAAGTTTCTCCAGCTGTCCAAGTGCATCCAGTGGAATTTCGGTTAAGCGCGACCTGCATATTTCAAAACAGAACAAATATTTGAAGGTGTGGAGGTTTGACCATCCATCTGTGGACTCAAGATCAATGAAACACAACCTCCCAACTTTGGGTGGAATCCGTTCGAGAGATTGAAAGGTGGAGCTTGGTAACCTAAGTTCCCTGAGTTCAGTAAGGGTACTTGTAAAGTCAGCGGGCAACGCGGTCATGTCTAAAAGGTCCAATGTCAACATTGACAACCTAGTTAACCTCCCAATACACTGCAAATCTTGAGCTTGGCATGCGTTTAGTGGTGCATGAGTCATATCAGCATATCTACGACGACCATAATCAGACAAATGAAGACCACGTAAGTCTGTCAGGTTTGACAGATCCGGAATCCTCTGTAATGCTGAAGACGAAATGTTCAAATGTGCCAAACTTGTAGGAAGCTCTGGCAGTTGTTGAAGCTCCTCACAACAATACAAAAACAATCCCGTAAGTTGAGAAAGCCGACTAATACTTGGTGGCACTTCAGAAATACGGGTTCCCACTAAGTTTAACTCTTTCAAAGATGATAGTGCCCCAATTTCCATCGGAATTTCTCCCTCCAAAAATATGCAAAATGTAGCATCTAATTCTTCAAGCTTCTCCAACATCCCTATTGTCTTAGGGAGCTTTCTTAATTTACATCCTTGCATGTCCAAAATCTCCAATCTCTTAAGCTCTCCGATTGAATCTGGCAGCTCAATAATGTTCGTGGAAGATAAAATCAACTTGACTAGAGATTTCAGTTTCCTAATCGACTCCGGAAGTTTCTCCACAGATGACTTATGTAAAGACAACACTTGAAGACCAGGTATCTCTCCTATTGAATCCGGAAGTTCAAGGAGTTCCAGATTTTCCATCCTTAGCGTTGACAGATGCTTTAGATTACCCAATGAGTCAGGCCATGATTGACATACCATGCCTAGATTGAGCATGGTTGGAGCTCCTTTAAGCACCCTCAAACCAATACACCCCTTAAATTCCAAGTGCTTCAAATGCTGCAGCATAGTAATGGAAGGGTCAATTTCAACCAGCCTATCACAATCCTTCACGATGAGTCTCTCCAAAGTCAAGCATGTAGAGAAGTTAGGCGTCTTGATCAACCTTCTACAACTCACGAGATGCAGAACTTTTAACCTGCATTTCCCCTGTAAAGTTACTCATGCAAGAATGTATAAAGATCGTCAAATTCACTATGCACAGAGAAAAAGAGTAAATGTAAATTGCTTGTATTACATGATATCGTACCATGATTTGGCTCCATCCACCCCAATCATTTGTAATGTCAGATTTTGAAATTTTGAGGACAACTAGATTGCTTGGAGAGAAGTTAATAGCTTGAAACTCTGAAGGACAATTTTGCCAAGAGAGCCATCTTAGCTCCAGAAGGAGATTTCGGAAGTCCCCTACAAAGTTTCCTCCAGCCAACTCAAGGAACCTTAATTTTACCAGCCTTGAAATGTCTTCACTTGTAATATTGCATCCTCGAGATTGTCCCCCTAGTTTGAGTGCTACTATTTTTTTGGTTCCCTAGTAAAGGAAATTAGAGCTCAATTAGCCTAAGCTTCGGTGAACATAAGAAAAAGGCCCATGAATTTAACATAAAATATTTCTTTTTCTTAGTAAAAGGCTGGGGAGAGGCAATGGTGTAGCTACCTTTCTGCGCATTAACATGAGGGTCTGACATCTTCTATGTAATGTTTGTTTGAGTCATAGTTATTCAGTCCACTCGTAGGTGTACGAGCCCATCAAGGTAGCCAATGCCTAATGCACAAGTTGACAGAGGTTCGATCACGACATGGCTTGAACTTGTAACCTTATGGAAGATAGTGTGACCTCTTTACTACTGAGCTACCATGCTCCATGTAATCTAACACAATACTGACCAACTCTATTTTTTACACAAAGTGAAAAGTAGAACTTTGATCGATACGTACCTCTTTGTTTCGAATAACATCCATGGCTATGGTGGTACACCATATTCTACTACGTTCTCCAGGATGTTTGATGCTCTCACTACGAACAAGATCCCTTCCTAAATCTCTGAGTTGGTCATGCATCCAAATGCGGCCGAGTTGGTCATTCTTTATTTTTATCAGAGACTTGTTAATAAGAACTGGGATGGCTTCATTGGGATAAAATTTACAAGCACTCCACATATAAATTGCGTCGCTTCTTCGTTCATCGGCCATGTGACATGCAATGTCAAGGAAAATTTCTTTCTGCTCATATTCCAACATGTCATAACTTACCTTCAATACCTCCTGAACTTCTTTGTGAGGCATTTCCTTCAGCTTGGCCAATACATCGTCCCACACTTCTTCACTCACCCAGCAAAGTGAGGATCCGATGACCACAAGAGCTAGCGGAAGTCTACCAGTTATATTCACAATTTCTCTTGTTATTCTATCATATTCATGTGGAGGAGCATCGCTCTCAAATGCATGTCTACAGAAAAGTTGAATAGCATCAGAATAACGCATCTCCTCCATTTCGTAGAAGTGGTACACTTTATGATGCATTGAGGCATGATTCTTGTAAGCTTTGAAAATACCGATGTCTCTAGTTGTCACAATAATTCTACTTCCTGGACCGAACCAATTGCACTTTTCTGCTAGCATCACAAGCTGGTCCCTTTTATCCAAATTATCAAGAACAATCAGAACTTTCTTGTGGCGACATCTCCCTCTAATCATATTGATCCCGTAGTTGGTATCATGAACCTTTATGGATTTAGACTTGAGGATGTCGGACAATAATCTTTTTTGCAATTTCGCAATTTTACCCTGCTGTGAAAATTCTCGAATGTCTGACAGGAAGCTGCAACCATCAAATTGAGAAGCGATTTGGTTGAAAACAACATTGGCAAGAGTTGTCTTACCGACTCCACCTATTCCGTGTACAACGACAAACCGTACATCATGAGAGTCTTTGCCTAACAAATGTATGATTGTTTGCATATGACGATCAATTCCAACCAAATGATCAGGCACTAGTCGTCGAACTCTTCTCGCCAATCTCATTGTGACCTCATCGGTAATAAGTTTTATAAGTTCCCCTTGGCTGCATACGAGTAATTGAGATTGAGTAACAACATAAAGGACATCAGGTTCCAGGTCTGAATGTGAAGTCGGAGTTCACAGCAATGGCGGAAATAGAAAATTTTAGTAAGCGGCCGAAGCAAATTAAGGCCACGATATTTATTTTAAACACACACATGTATCATATCTTTTTACAATGAGAAAGGAACAAAAATCACGCAAACAGAAAGAGAGTACAAGATTGCTAGCAAAATAACCACACTGAAATACACTGTCATCCTTGACTAATGCAAGCATCACGTTTATGTTGTGAACACAACAAATTCCTGAAAATTTAATCCACCTAAAATAATTATCAAATTAGTCATAATACTACCCTTTCGTTGCATATTCGAAACGAAATATAAAATTGTCTTCGATGAACGCATTTGTTTCGTAGAAAATCATTAATTGAAAAATATTATTTCCTCAAGATACTCTTTAGTACGTGTACTTAGAAAGAGTAGTCGGCGAATAATATTGTCATTCCCCACAACTATCTATGTCTGAAAATTCCTTGGTTGATTATAAAAGTATTTTCAATTGATTCATGTCCATTAGCCATTTTAACAATTAAATTTAGAGTTAATACTACGAAAAATCCCAAACTGGTACATCTATAATAAATTTACCCCCAATTATTTTTTTGATCACAAAAAACCACAAACTGGTATACCCGTGATAATTTTATCCCGAACTAATTTTTTGACCACCAAAATCCCCAAACTGGTACTCCTGTGATAAATTTACCCGCCGTTAGTTTCCGTTAAATTTTACTGTCAAATTGCTAAGTTTGATGATTGTGGTAGTTGACGGATGTACCAGTTTGAGGTTTTACCCCTATGTTTGTCACAAGTTTATCAATTTGTAGTTTTTTGTTATATTAATCCAACTTGACGGACAGTAACGGAGGGTAAATTTGTCACAAAAGTACAAGTTTGGGATAAAAAATTAGTTTCGGGTAAAATTGTCATAAGTGTACTAGTTTGGGATTTTTGGTGGTCAAAAAATTAGTTCAAGATAAAATTATCACAAGTGTACCAGTTTGGGGTTTTTTGTGGTCAAAAAATTAGTTCGGGGTAAAAGTGTCATAGATGTACCAGTTTGGGATTTTTGATGGTCAAAAAATTAGTTCGGAGTAAAATTATCACAGGTATACCAGTTTGAGGTTTTGCGTGATATTAAACCTTAAATTTAAGAGAATATTTTCTAAATGATGATAAACATACAAGCATCTCCTAGATATTTGAAAACCGTGCTAATCATAGTCGCCGTCACAGTTATAGATCACTTTGTAGCTATAGCTGTACATGAATATCAACTCCAGGAAATCAGAAATAATTTTTACTCTTTTTCCTTTGTGAAGATATGCAAGAGGAGTGCAGTATATAGTCTTACTGAAAAGCCCTCGAAACTCTCTTACCGTCTATCTTTGCAGTCCCATCCATCGATAGAAGCGACCTCTGTTAGAGCCTCCTTCCATGATTGTACTTCATAGTAGCCGAACCTGTCCTCATGCCGTTTCAAGGCATCAGCGTATAATCTTGTTCTAAGCTTAACATCAGAAGGATCGACGTCGAAGAAAATGGGAAGAAGCACTTTGTCCGTTAATCTTCTCGAGCATTCCACCATGTGGGCGAGTTCACGAAGACACCATGGACTAGATGCATAGTCTCGGGAGAAGATGGGCACATAAATTTTAGAATCTTTGATCGCACGCAAAAGCTCTTCTCCAATCTTTTCACCTTTTCGGATCTCTTCATTGTCTATGAAGACGCGAATCCCAGCTCCATCTAGGGAGTGATAGAGGTGATCAGTGAAATTAAGACGAGTGTCTGGCCCTCTGAAACTCAAAAACACCTCAAATTCAGCTCCCAGTGACTCAATACCTCCACTCGTCAACGAGGACATTGCTGTGACCGAGTCCCTTTTTCTCTTCATCGTCACCAACGCCATTTGCTGAGTTGAACTTCTTTGGGTGTTTACGATTCTTCCTCGTCTGATCAGTGGTGTCTGGAGAGGACGTTGCTTGTGAAAGAGTTAAATAGTAGTAAATTACGCGTGCTAACAGTACTTCAGAGTAAGACTTTGAATTTTGGTGGGACAAGAATCCCAAAGAATATAATAGCAATCACGTGCTGACAAAGAAGATAACAAATTTTTAACAAAAAAAGACATTTAGACTGCATTTATTTTACGAAAAATAAATGATTCAAAAAATATTTTTCTAAAAATAATCGTTTGTATTGCTTACAAAAATAAATAAACAAATAAATATTTTCATAGTACACGAAAATATTTAGATATAAAGTGATGTTGGTTATGAAATATTTTCATTGACTAATAATTTTAAGTGATACAAATAGTCATTTTTAGGAAAATATTATTCAAATCATTCATTTTACACGAAACAAACAGAGCCAATGAAAAGGAAAGCTGAGTAATGCCTACACAGGATGTTTGACAGATCGTAACAATAATTAATTATTTGTGATTTTTCATAAGTATTTTTTTCAGCAAATTTTGAAGTGAATATTCTTTCATGAATCTGCAAAAAGCCCGGGAATGCAAATTCATTATGTATATTAAAGTGAGTTTGTAACATTGATGATGATGATGATGATATATATATATATATATATATATAATTGCACCATCTGAATGTTATAAAAAGGCTTTTGCAACAAAAGAAAAAGGAAATAAAAGGCAAATAAGGAAAGTCTTTTGGGTATATCAATGATGATTGAAATGTAACTTCTATTACTATTGGGATGTGATATATGTTAAAAGGAAATAAGGAGAATCTTAAACAAAAAAAGAAGGAGAATATTTGTAGGTAAAAAATCCATGTGCCGTAATAATCTATGTAAAAGTGAATTTTGGGCATTACTGATAGCTGATTTTTTTGGCCATTGTATCCGAATATGATGGGATAATAACACAAATAGTCCATAAAATTTGACCCAATATGCAATGTGATTTCTGAACTTTTAATTTGTTTAATGTGGTCCATGAACTTTTGATAATGTTCAAACTTGTCCCTGGACTATATGAAATTAACTTAATAAAAAGGACAATACTGAATTTTTTCATATAGTCAAGAGATTAGTTTGAACATATACCAAACATTCAAGGACTACATTGCACACTGGGCTACAGTTCCAGGACCACTTTGAACATACTAAAACTTCAGGGATCATATTGCATATTGAGTCAAAGTTCGATAATCATTTGTCAATTTTCAAAAAATAATCAATCTTTGCATATTTTATTAGGATTAATATTACAGAAAACCTCAAACTGATACTTTTATGATAAATTTACCCTAAACTAATTTTTGAGTCACCAAAAATCCCAAAGTGGTATACGTGTGACACATTTACCCTCCGTTAGCTTTTGTCAAATTTAAATTAACTTTTAAGAAAATAAACTTTTGAGTACATTTCTAAATGGCTAAATTAAATTTAAAATATTGAGATTTTATTCATCCTACTCTGCTCACCGATGCTTAAATAACAGTTAGAAAATCACCGAATTATAGTAATCAAACTACCAAGACAAAACCTTTTATTTAGAGATCATAGGGGAAAATATTTAAGGTAATTATTCATCTGCATAAACTGAGAAGAGTAGGATGAATATAAGATTGATGTTTTAAAATGTTTTAAAGTTAATTTATCCATTTAGAAATGTACTCAACAGTTCATTTTTTTAAAGTTAATTTAAAGGTAAAATTTAACTGAAGCTAATGGAGGGTAAATGTGCATCGCATGTACCAGTTTAGGATTTTTATTGACCCAAAAATTAGTTTAGTGTAAATTTGTTATAAATGTACCAATTTGGAATTTTCGTATTAACCTGTCAAGTACACATGGCATCTAAGTCACTGATTTAATGGCAATATTTGATAGAAGTTAATAAAGGGTAAATATGTCAGATGTGTATCATCTTGTGATTTTTGGTGATTAAAAAATTAGTTTGTGATGAATTTGTCACTGGTGTATCAGTTTAGAGTTTTTCGTGATATTAACTCATTTTATTATTATTTAAAAATTGATTAAAAATTGATAGGGAGGAATTGGGATGTCATAACGTCAATTGAACATTAAAGTTAAAACTTGTGGTCAATAACCTAATCATCTCCAGCTAAAATAAAGAGAGACAAACTGATATTTGTCTCATAATGCATTCTCCGATTTCTGTTATCCCCAGCCATTTGTTCATGTCTGTAATTAAGATAATCTTTTTCTTTTCTTTTCTTTTACTTTTGTAATCCCCATCCGGCTAAAGTAAAGAGACATTTTATACTTGAAACAGCAACAAAAAAATGTAAAATATAAATCCCCAATTTTCTCTCATCTTACATTTAGCATTCTCTAACTTTTATTTTTCCCTTTTTCTATTTTGCATGTCAAGACTTTGTGAAACCTTCGCTTCGTATCTTGGGAGTCGAGCAATTGTAGAAAGGGGAAAAAGAGCTGACATCACATTGCTGTTCTATGAGGGTCCTTCCTCCACCACAAATTTCAAAATGCAAAATGGAGAAACTCTAGCAAACGGTTATCTGATGTACTCAGAAAGTTTGGCATTAGTGTCATAGACGGACTACAGGCAAAAGAAAGGAATCCCTATAACTTGCTCTTACAAGAAGGTGCTGCAGGATATATAGTGGAGATTCCTTGATTTACATGAGTCGATCACCACTCAAATGATTTTTCTTTTACTTATTATGTATAAAATCTTTTGATTGGTTAGTTTGACATATTAAACTCATTAAATTAAATTCTGATAAATTTGACCATAGTTTTATGAATGAACAGAGAGGCCCAAAGTTAAACACATGCCCAGCTCTTTAAGTCTAAAATTGGATAAGTATATCAAATAAAAGAGAAAATGCACGTCAGTTTGGTTAGTATATATGAGGAAAGTTAGAAAATGAACCTCAGCTTGGATAGTTTGAGCAAAGTTAGAACTAACTACAGATTAGATTTTCTTATTTTTCCCTTCAAGAAGTAGAGGTTAAGAAGAGACAAAGAACTTGTCAAGTTGTAAACCAAGAAAACTCGTGTAGAAGAACCCGCTGCTTTATTAGTTTTGTCCGTTTAAATCATTTTTTAAATTTTTTTCTAGATGATTTTACAAGTTACGATTAAGTAATTTGTTTATCCTTAATTTGTTACATCCATAGATGATAGTATCAGTTCGTTTATTTCTTAAATGGACTTATTTGATTTAGTTGAGTCTGAATAATATTTTCTTGTTTCTTTGATAAACTAATTATATACTTTTTCATAATTTACTTTTCAATTATTCAAAAAGGGACGGATTAAATGTTACGCCATTCAATTTTTCCCCCTTTTCTTGTTTAGTCATTTGTTTCTCCATTTAGCTTTTCTTTTCCTTTCTTATTTAGTGATGGCCTTAACTTACTCAATTGGTTGCCTTCTCTTGGTGTAAGATTATTGTGATTCAAAGGCCACCGTCATTCCTAGTAAAGACAGTGGCTGTGATGCCATCGCTCTTTCCAGGCAAAACTCAAGAATACCTTATCCAAAACTTTCACCAGGTCATCGGATCAACCACTCTTGGACGTTCTGTGAGTTTTAATTTTACCTTGGAAACAAAAGTTAGGCCCACAAAAGAAAGAAGAACAAAGAAAGAGCAACCACTAAGCATTTCAATATTGACAATAGATTTTAGCTCAACCCATCCAGCCAAGCTACATCGTCATCATTGTAGTAGAGTTCGTCTCTGTTTATCTGTCTATGCATGGGTTGTGATTTCGTATGCTCCACTCGATTTTGGTTGTCACTATCCCAACTAACCGGTGGCTTCTCTGTGATTAAGATGAGTCACTCTTTTTAACTCCTAAACCCCACATTGATGTCCCTCTTATTATCTAATAATTAATACGTCTTTTTTGGGCAAAATAACCTAGACATTTCCTAGAAACTTAGAAGACACGGAGAACATTTGTCTTCTCTTGATAACCTATGCGTCCTTAATCCTTTTTAAAGCTCTTTTCTCACTGACTAATTTAGTTTGTTAATTTTATGACGACGACGGCCAAATGGATGCTGACTAGATGACAAAAATTGCAACAGCGACAACACTAATCTCATGGAATGCTGCCGGTGATATCCTGCCAAAGATTGAGTTCAATTGTTTATTTCAAAATGATATAATATATATTACGTCATATGATAAATCAACTCATAGAAGAATACATAAAATGATACGTGAGTCGTAACGCATTCTCCTCTCGTCTTTTCTCTCGCTATCATCCGAACACTAGGAGTGTCTTCCAATAGAGTTTCTTGGTAATGCTATCAAGCCTCATTTGTTTCTACCATCATATCAACGGTTGCGCTTAAACCGCGGTAATCATCTTTTTTCGTTCCTTCTCACGTGCAGTCCCCTTGAAATCGCATCAAGCGTGTCTTGTACTGGTAATAATAAACTAACCAGTTTCCACTCCGGACGAATTCATCCGGCTTTTGTTGCAAAGCGATGTGGTATTACATTGGCAAATTCCGGGTTCGGTTCTACCGAGGAAATGACTTGAACGAGCACAGGGTTCAAGGTGATCCCCTGAACCGGTTCATGAAAATCTGCGTGTGAATTTATTAGGGAAAAGGAAGAGAGAAATGTCGGTTTGAAATGTCGACCGAAACTAACTTAAGGCAGAGGGCATTCGCTTTCTCTTTGGTGTTATCTTAAAAAATAGACTGGCGTGTGCTATTCTTCTTAGGAGTGGATGTCATCTGTAGTGTAGTAAATCACTTCTGCTTTTCTTTTTCGTGGCATTGTTGTTTGTTCATTGGGCTTAATCTTCTTGGATTTCCTGGACAGCGTCACCCATATTGGCGCCGCGCGTATTTGCAATCTGATTCTGTCTTTGTAAATCCCGAGACTCTTTTTGCAGTCCGATTCACAACGTT